ACCCACTGCCAGGGCCTTACACACCGCAGAATGTGAAAAGAAAGAAAGAACAGCAATTCTACAGTCACAGGAAATAAAATAATTTGTGCTGTAAGGCACCTCAGCCATTAGGTAATTAATCTGAGTTATTTCTGTGTTTGGGCTGAAGTGGAAGGATGAGTCCTACCTCAGTGAGACCTGAATGTTTCAGTGCCTCAGACTTTTTGCCCATGCCTGCAGATATTTCAACACTAAGTGCCACACCTGACATCTACACAGCTAGCAACAAATGCTAGCACATTTCTCCCATTTCCCCACTAGCTCTGCCAGGTTTGGTGACTTGGTAGAGATCTTGCACTTCACCCAGTGCCTTGAAGCTGTAGCCCCCAAATTCAAGGTGCCAACATGGAGATGGGTGAGCAGAAGGAAAGTTGCCCCTAAGCACCTGCCAGCAGTTCCTCTGCTGCTGTGTCCCATCTCAGAGGGTTTCCATCATCCAACACTTCCATGGTCTCCTCCTCCAGGGGTGAGGCTGTGGTTTCCAGCTCTGCTGAAACAGGTGGATGGTCAGGGATTGTGGCCTCAAGAAAAAGCAGCTGGACCTGTAAGCCAGGGGCTAGACATGTGCACCTTAGCAAGGTAAGTGCCTTTTGGCAAGTAACCTGGGACTGGGTAAACATAAGCGAAGTCCTGTCCCTATACCTGAGCTAGGCCCTGGGAAAGTAGTCACCAGGTAGACAAGGAAAGTCACAGGGGCAGAAAACTCCAATTGCCCATTTCCCCAAAATGAGAAAGCAAGGATTGCTCTTCATTTAATCAATGTCAGGAGCCAGTTTACAAGGCAGTCCCAGGAACAGTTGCACAGTGGACTGCAGGATCCACAGACTGCAGCAAGTGGCAGGTGAGGGTGGGAGAGAAGGGGAGAGCTGTTTCTCATACACATCTTCACACTCATTTTTGTCACATGCCAGTAGAGGGTCCTACCACATGTGAAATAACCTGCACCCGATGATCATTTTCCCGATTTACTCATGGGTCATCCCAGGAAAAGCAACATCACAGATGAAGCTGCAAGTCTGAAATTTGCTGACTTGGGCTTTTTGATTATTATTCTGCTTCCTCTGTGAGAGATGAGTTGCACTCCCAACTCCGTGTTCTTTATTTGCAGATGATTTTTACTTAACTGCTCTATTGATCCCAAGATGGATAGGAAGCCCAGCAGCTTAAGCCCTGTCCCTGAGGGTGTGAAAGCTTCATTAGATTTATGAAATTCTCCAGGATACACTGAGGCTCTGCAGTCCTTCTAGCAAAAAGGCTTTACATTTTACTCACATTCCCATGATTTGTTTTCCTTGTTGAATTATTATTTTTTATGATTATTATTTAAACTCAAGGTTTCTCCTCTAGGTCAACTGCATGTGAAATGCAGTCAATTAATAGGTGGGGAGAAGAGCAGTCCACTCCCATGAGTCTGATATCCCATCTCTCAACTTCATCCTAACACTATCATCTCCCCTTCACATCCTTTCTCTCAGGCAGGACAGATTTGGCATTTTCCTCTGAGGGTCAGAATCTCCTGTTGTTTTCACCTGAGATAAACAAAAGCATCGTTAGAAATAGTCAGATAAAAGCAAGGAAAAATGACCTACAGGTTAAAGGTGTGTCCCAGTTTTGGCTGTGATAGAGTCAATTTTCTTCCCAGTAGCTGGTGTAGGTCTGTGTTTTGGATTTTTTATGGAGCCAGTGTTGATAACTCAGGGATGTTTTCCTTATCACTGAGCAATGTATGCACAGTGCCTTTTTTGCTCCTCATCCCACCCCACCAGTGAGAAGGCTGAGGGTACACAAGGGATTGGGAAGGGACACAGCCAAGACAGCTGACTCCAACTGACCCAAGGGATGACCCAAACCATATGGTGTTGTGCTTAGCACATAGAGCTGGGGGAAGGAGGAGGAAGGAGAGGACATTTGGAGTGATGGTGTTTGTCTTCTCAAGGCATCTTTATGTGTGATGAAGTGCTGCTTTCCTGGGGATGGCTGAACACCTGACTGCCCATGGGAAGTGGGGAAGGATCTGCCTGCAAATAAAACCTGGCGTCACCTTCCATCAGCAGTGCTCAACAGGAGCACCACCTAGCAGTGGGAACAGAGCTGCAAGGCAGCACACTGCACACCAGATTAATGGCTAAAATGTTAGTGGGACACCAAAGGGACTGCTTAGGACAGCATTCTTTAGTACATTCCCTCACCATGTGGCATGGGGAGTTAGTGACAGATCCCTGACATTTGTAGAAGAGACTAATTCAGAGGCTGAGAAGTCCAGAGAGGATACTGAAGTTAGACAGGTATTAGCTAAATGAGAGAAGAAAAAGGCCACCTTATATATGTAGGAAATACAATCCAAAAGGTGGAATTTTTATTCAGAAAGGAAATGAAGCTTGTAAAGCAATAACACAGAAGCAGTCCAAGAAAAGACAATAAGTAAGGTGAGTGTAAACAGAGACTGGTAGATGCCACAAAAATGTGACCATACCTTGAGGCTGTTCCCTGGAATAGCTGCCAGCTCTGCTGCCCCACAAGAAACAGGGGCAGACAGCACCAACACTGCATAGATGCACTGACAGGATTGGGGAGGAGGATGGCAAGGACTGTTGAGCAGAAAGAGGGAGACATGACACCTACACACTTGAGGATTTTGGAAAATGGGACCATCCAAGGAAATGCAAGCAGGTTTCAATATAGCTGTGTGTAGAGCTGTGTGTAAAACAGCCAGCTGGAAGAGCAGGAAATCCTTCTTGATAGCCAGATCAAGTTGTCTGTGAAGTTGTACAGCTTTCAAGCAGCAGGATGGAAGCATCCTGCACCCATTTTGGACCAGCACAAAATGTCTCAGTGCACACACTGGTACCCAGACACGGCCACAGACCCAGTCCAGCCATCTCCTCCAGGCTGTTCCAGACATAACCTCCCACCTCCTCAAGGCAATGATGCTCCAGAAGTTTCCTACTTATCTCAAGACAAAATGAAAACATTCCTGTTTGCCCTTGTCCACAGTATTGGGTGAAGCTTCAGCATGAAAAACCCTTACAGAAATGACATCTTTTTGGCATTTCTAGTTTTTGTCCATAGTAAGAAAATACGGTTTTCTTCACAAGAAACAGTGATTGTTCTCACCATTGAGTGGCTGCTTGGATTTTCATTACTTTTTCTACTTGCAAAAACCCTTGGACATGGGGATTTTTTAAAGCTAACTCTAGCAATGATAATGCCAGCACCCTTTAGAGCTCTTCGATTTTCCTCATTTCTGCCCTTATAGAGCATCAAAGTTTTTTCTTGTTCATTTTTTAAGGCAGTATTTTTCAGGATATTCTTCTGGTATATCTTTAAGGAAATATTTTACAAGCAACATCCCCAGGGATGCTTTGTTAGGTGGGGAGTTCCTCCAGCTCCTCAGACAGAAAGTGCTATCAGATGCACAGAATGTTGCTGCAATTAACTCCTTTGCTGAAAAACAATTGCACTAGGCAGTCCTGTGCTAAACAGCTACTTTGAGATGCCAGGCTCCACATCCAGGCCTGGCTGACCTTTACAGAGAGCTTCTGCTGTGCCCTTAATTTTCATGGGTCCCTCAGGTGGGCACTTCAGCCAAGCCTCCACTTGCTTTGCACGCTGCAGTTCTGGGCTTGTGGCATTCTCAGACACAGCAGCCAAAGACCCATGCAGGCTTATTCTATTCAATGGCTATTTTTATACATCCTTTTAATCAAATATTTGGCTGCTGCAATCATCTTGATTAATGAATGTGAGCAGGACCCTTCTGTGTTCAATGCCTGGGTCCTTCTATTCATTTCACACCCACATCACACCATTCCCCCTCTAATATAGGGACAGAGGTGTACAGAGTCTGGTTAAAACCTAATTTATTCTTTCTAAGCATTGCTAGAATTTATTTCTTCCTCTTGAACTAGACTCTGAAATAACAAATTATTTTCCTGTAATCCTAAATGATTAAGCCTGTGACCATGTTGCTAATTTAAATACACTGGTTTTTGAAGCTATTGTAAAAGGTCCACATCTCTTCAAGGCCATTTTACAAGATCTTGCTTTATTTAAAACCTCTGAATGAGACCACTACACATATTTCTAAGCTGTCCAAGAGTTATTTGGGCTGATTTACCAATGTCCATGCATTACAGCTAATAAAGGGGAACAGGGCAGTGACAAAGGGAGGCCAGACAGGTTAAAGTCCTGCTTTGGAAAACCACATCCCAGGCAACATCCACTGCCCCAGAACAGCTCCCAGTAATTACAGCCCCACAAGAAGCATAATGGGATGTAATCTAGTGCAGTTTATGAAGTCCAAAGTACACCTGTGGTGCATCCCAATTCTGCAAACAACTATGGCACACATTATATAGCTTTCCTTTGGAGAGTGGTAAAAATTATACACACAGAGACTAGAAATCTATTAAGCCATTCAGCAGGTAATAATTCCTGCCAAATCAGGCAGTAATGTTAGCTGCTTATTAGCTGTATTAGATACCTGCAGACAGAAGACATCGGGCACCGTTCTGTGGCACAGCATTATCCTTTGATTTGCTTCAGGCCACTTGTGTTTGTCACCCACCCCTCAGGAAGCCTAACCTGACACCAGTTAGCTGGAGGCTTCGCTCTGTAAATTGATCTTTGTGAATTACTGCAGCAGAAGCTGTGGGCTGAATTACACCCAGCTGTCTACTGGGTTGTTTTAAGAGAAGTCTGTCCTTTCAGCTCAGGTGAGCCAAGGAAGGGGTGAGTAAGTTTTGCTGCTGCAGTACATCACACCCTGAAGGCTCTGTAGTCTCCCCCAATACACTGCTGCACAAAAAAGCATACAGACCAATGGCCCAAATGGTATCAGCATCTGTATCTGACATCAGACTTAACTGATAAAATAGTCTATGCTCCTGCAAGAGAGGACTAGAGAAAAGATGCATCAATAGGAATTTTACAGGCATAACACCTAAAAATTAGATTTCTCTAAGTTATGTGTCTCCTTGACCAATTATTGGGTAGTAATCTTGAAGAGCAATCTGATTTAAATTTCTATTTACTGTTATTATACTATAGCCACTAAAACCAACAGCCAGTCCCTCCCCTCCTTTTCTCCTGATTGCCTTCACCCTCTTACTGTGGAGCTGCTTATCTGAAACTCCAGGTGAAGCTCACAGGCAGTGACCCCTGGGGCTAAGGGCCCCACACTGCAGGGGTAGCATCCCCACTTCTGTATAAAGAACTCAGGCACCTCAGTGCCATAAGTGACCTACTCCTCTATCATGTCACATAAAACCCACACCAGATTTTAATCACCACATGATTTCTATATAATACCTAAAAAAATCATGGTACAGGGACACCATATAAATAAACACTGTGCAGCAAGTCACAGAAGATTTGTGCTCATCATATAAAGACCTGACTGTTAAATGGGTCTTTTCCATGACATCTTAATTTTTTTACTTTCAAAGGGCAGATTTAGAGATAGCAGAGTCACTTCTCTCTGAAGACTAACATACATGATAGCATCACGGTATGTGATCCAGCCATGAATGAGTAAAACATCTTTTCAGTATTGCCTGTGCACATCAACATAAAGACAATATTGAAAAGTCAGCTGTGTTTACTTAGTTAACATGCATCTTTTACATGCTCACTTAAGCCAGTCAGTGGCAAGGCAAAGCTGTTAGAACAAATACAAGTGCTATAGAAAAACTTAATTCAGATTTTATAATCTTTGTAGTTGCCTCTTATTTTATATTCTCCTGCTCCTTTTTTATTCCCTGTGTAAAGTCAAGCACCATTCCCCTGCTGAAATACTGACACTTCCAGTTATAACCTTGCTCCAGGCACTCAGAGGCCTTTGCCACATCCATGCAGTGAGGAGCTGAAGTACCACAGGACTGACTCCATCAAAGAAACAGGTCCCAAGAGCCCCAACATCACCTGGGCAAACACTGTGGGATGGAGCTCCCATTCACCTGCTCCATAACCTGTGCTCAGCCCCTGATGCATCAGGCACTCTCTCACCTTTACCTTGGAGACAGGCCCATGTTTGCCTGACTTCGACAGATTTTAGCAGCACTCAGAGTGCTGCAGGGTGAGCAGGGGGAAGAGGAGTGGAAGGACCATAATTTGGACGTGATTGCACAAACACAGCAGAAACATCTCCCCCTCAGAGTGCTTCACAGCTGAGGAAAGGTGTACTCTGCCATTTGGACCTTGTTGTCAGCTTGCACAGTTTGGCAAATAAACCACATTTGACATTTGTGGGTCAGATGAGTTCATGGAGGTGAGAGAGGAGCATAAGGCTGTCGGGTCACGACTTCGATGAAATCAAAGTGCATTAGGCAATAATTAGAGTTTTTCTGTAAATACTCAGAGGTCTGTAAAACGCAAGAGGCACACACATCTGCTGCCCAGCCCCAGCCCAGGATGCTTCCAGGGCATCTGCTGGGGCTGAGCCCTGTGATCACACCAAAGCAGCCTGGCTATGGCTCAGCTCCCCAAAACAGGGCTGAGGGTGCAGACTGTCTTGGCATGTAACTCCATTCCTTGCTGTGCAAGTCCAAATGTGTTTTTGCATGCATCTCATCCCAGTTCTGTGTGACTGTAGCCAGGCAAACTCAGCTCTGCAGGGGCCACCAGCTCCAGCTTCACCACACCATGTCTCCTTGCTGCACCCACCAGGAGCATGAGGCTTTGCAGCAGCTAAACCAGCAAGAGAACAGAACAGGTTTATAAAGGGATGGTCAGGGAGATGCCTACTCATTCCACTTACAATGTCCTTTCCAGCAAAAATAACTAATCTGGCTTAGGCAGGCACGGTTTGGACACACTTATGTCACACTAGGCTGTTTGCATTTGGGGGAGGCTCAGCCCTGCAGGGTGAGTGTGCAGCCAGGCTGGTGCTTCTCATCCCACCGGAGGATTTCTGAAGCTTGTGCATACCTGGGAAGCCTCACAAAACTTCTCAGGCTATTCAGAGATATTTAGTCAGAAACAACAAAAGTAGAAATGGCATGTTTCCTCACCACTGCTCATCAGCCTGAATTAAGTAGTATGAGGTCTGGCAGTGCCCTAAGCCCAGGCCAGGGCTGGGCTGGAGATGGATGCTGGCAGGAAATTTGATTTGAGCACCAAAAAACCTTCCTGATGAAAACATCACGTTGATGGCAAACTTCTGCAAAAACATTCCTGTTCCACAAACCAGCTCTCAGGTAAAGCATGGGTTGCTCAGAAACACCTGATGAGCCACAGTGGCAGCACTGCTGAGACATCCAGGCAGTATCTGCACATTAGGGTGAGATTATCATTATCTGCACTTTGTGGATGACAAGCACAACAAGCTAATGGCACCTTGTTACAACAAATCTCTATCAGGACCATGACAGAGCAGAGCTCTAGCTGGCTTTATCTCTGCTTGTGAGTGCATCAGGTCTTACAAGACATCAGCATTGGCCACAGAATCTCCATTCTGTCTCCTGTGCACTCCCTACATCCAGGTGCAAGGAAAGGCTGAATTAATTTAGAAGTGAATTGTAATGAGAGGATTAAAATCTCCTCAGAATTATTTCTTGAAGTGGCTTCATTTACTGTGTGTGACATATCCCCATTCACTGATTCCCCTCCAGTGCACCTCTGGTATTCCCTGTGCTGAGGAACTCAGTCTGCTCAGCATCCACAGGTAACCTCACAATTTTTTTTCAGGCAGATTGTGCTCAAGGGTTTTCTAGGCTGCAGTGAAGCTGAATTTCTTGTAGGAAAGTGCCATCCCGTGGCTAAGTGTGAAACCCTGACTGCATCGAGCCTGCACACACACCAGGCAAAGCCTCCTCAGACAACGACAAATAACCAGTAAAGAGACATTTAAGTAGTGGTGCAATAAGGCCAATTACCCCTCCCGTCCCCATGGTGGTTCAGCTGCAAATCTACATTACAACAGATTCTTGCCTTTTCCATATTTTCTGGCTTTCTTGGGAGTTTTACCAGATGCTTCACATTTCATATTTATTATTCTTAGGGTCTGACTAAATCCCAGAGTCTCAAAGTTGGAGAAAACAATAAAACCAACCCAAAACTAAACACCATCTTGCTGAATGGAGGGTTTCAGGGGTTTCATCTCAGACCAGAGTTGATGCTATTATTGCTGAATGGAGGGTTTCAGGAGTTTCATCTCAGACCAGAGTTGATGCTAAAAGACTCCTTGCCACACCATAGGCAGCAGCATCTGGCCTTGAGGCTCTACCACATGGGAGGGATGGAGAGACTTCTGGTACACCTGCCTGGAGACACAAAGCTGGACACCTGGACACATTTTTGCCTTCTCACCTGAAGCCAATTTAAAAACTCCTCCTCCCCTGGGCACCAAGCACAGCTCATGAAGAGTCAGACTGCCATTACCTTGAATCACCAAATATCAGACATAAGCTCATCAAAACCACCTGTCATAAGACATGATGCCTCTACATTGCTGCAGAGCATTGAGCCCATGTCTACAGGATTTCCGTCTGAAAGCAGAACAAGAGGACAACTTACTTTAATCTGACCTCCATGTTGACTTAAACCTTAAATCTAGCTACACTTGGAAACTTTCAACAGGTAAAAGACACTAAAGTCCCCCAACAATGAACAGCACAGACATGCTGAGGATTCAGCAAAGCCTCTGAGGCTGCCAGCACTCCCTAAAACACCCAATTTTCATCAGAGCTTTACAGTGGACAGCCAGCATCCAGTGTATGTGACCAACAGAAGGAGCAGGTTAGCTGGGAGGGTGCAGGAGCCAGGGCTCTGCAGGTCTTGGGTGGGAGTCAAGGCCAAAGCACCAGAAGCAGGTAGGGCTGCAGAGCTTCTGCAGCCATCCACGTATTTCATACCTTGAGCAGAGAAGTGACAGCAGTGAATGGAGTCACTGCTGTGGGTTGTTACTGCTCTTGCACTCCTATGTCTTTAAATTCTGCCCTGTGGGGGAATTTGGGTCCCCAAGAGTCTCCCCAGGTTCACCCATCCCCATGGGCAGTGCCAAGCTGAGGCCCCCAAAGGCAGCAAGCAGAGCAGGGAGCTGCTCACCCCAACCAGCCAGGGCTGGGCAGAAGGAACAGGCAATCCCCCAAATCACTGGTGAAAAGGGATTAACCACCCAGCTCAAAACCAAGGGAGATACAAGCCTGGGCTCTGAATCATGAGGGGTAAGCTTTCTCCTAGGATTAGTCACCCAAACAGCAGGATCAGAGAGAAATCTTGCCATATGGCTGAGTAGCCAGGGCATTTAGCTATGAAGGAGAGATGTATTTAAACCCCTGCACCCATTAATGTCCATTTATAAAAATTGGCACAAATTCAGCAAGACATTAAGAGATTTGACCTGGATGTCCACAAAGCAAGGCAACTTCTAGGCTTTGGAGAAGTGAAAATGGCTTCTTTGTGCTGGTCTTTCAAACAATACCATTCTTGATCTTTCTTTTAATTCATGAAAAGGAGGGAAAAAAACCCAACAAACTCTTTTCTCAACCACATCAGTGTTACATGTTCCGTATCAAGCTACATCTTCAGCTCCCACAAACTCATTGCTGTTGTGGTCCTTGGGCCTCTCTCCAGCAGCAAATGTATTTACACTAAAAACACTGCAACTCTGAGGAAAAAAAATCCTATAGCCACCCCACATACTACTGTGAATCAGAGCAGAAGAGGAGGCTTTCCAAACCACTGTGGTAAAACAGAAAACCCAGAAAGTATCCTGAATTTCCATCCAAAACATGACTCAGGTCTCCCTCTAGTCCAGCTTCAGGAAAGATGCAGAAAGGCATTTTCCAGCTGGAGTAACATCAGTGACAAAAGACAGCTGTGAGTAACACACATGATGATTACCAGAAAACCTATACAATCTATATAACGTGGGAAAAAGCAGCTGGGGTAGTGAGAGCAAAATTCCAGAAGCTGCCACCAATGTGCTGCTCTGGGGGTTCACAAAGGAGCAGCATTCCCAACACACAAGGCATTGCTTCTTGTGGGGGTGAGGCACACCTGCAGCTAATGCAGGTCGGGCTGTGCCTCCCCTTTGGCAGCCAAGGATTTGGTAAAAATATTCAGAGAGGAAAAAGACATGTGCAGTATCCACATAGGAGCCTGGATCCATCTACTGTTTAAAACAGGAAAGGCTTCTATTAGAACAGGGGAGCAAATTATTCCAGCACGTAGTTTCTGTGGGGAAAATCAAGAATAAAACACCTAAGTGGTGCTAACAGCATATTTCCCTTAATTTTTAACTGCCACAGGAGTTTTTGTCCCACACAGGAAATGCCATGGCTATCAGGCAGTGAGGCCTTACCCTCCCAGGGGCAGCAGGAGCACACCCAGCTCAGCCTGCCCAGCAGTTGCCTCTGGGCAGCTTTTCAAGTAATAACTCATTCATCCCAACAATTCCTTAACGTTTGGTCACAAATGTTATCACAAAATGGAGAGATGAGCCTAAACCGACTTGGCAGTGACCTTTGATTTCTTCCAAGTTTAGCTGCCTGAAAAGACAAGCTTCTAAGCACACCAAGCCAATCAAACCTGGATGTCTACCTTGTCTAGTGGAATAAAATCAAACTCCTGGAGAACAGCAAATGAAGCCAGGTTTGGGCAGGCCAGTCTGTAACTTCTTAGTGCTCCTTGCAATTATCTGTGCAAAACCACCACTGCTCCCAGTCCCCTGGCAGGCACCAGGACAGTATGAGTCTCCTTAATAGAATTATAGAATCAATTTAGGTTGGAAAAGACCTTTAGGACCATCTCATCTTTCAGCACATGGGACAGCCTGCTCCTGTGCCTTTAAGATTTACTTCCTGAGGAATGTCCAGCCTTGTATCCTTTGCCCTTCAGGACTGCCTCCCAAGGGACTGTGTCACCCAGTCTCCTAAACAGGCCACAATGCTACTCCATGACATCAGTCTCATTAAATCATCCATTACACAATAAGCATAGTGACTTTGTGGTATATTTGATGATTAATAGGGTTTTTTCTATCTCTTGTTTCTACATGTCTATTTTGTGTACACAAAAAAAGCACTAAATTTGTACATAGAGGCAAATCATAATTGCTTTCTTCATTTAATCTTCCCAATAATGAGCCTTTGGAGAAGAAAAGTAGTATTTCATTCTGAGTTGTTTTTTTTTTTTTTTAAAACACTTGTCTTTGTAAGTAACCTTTTGGATGCTTTAAACTCAACCCAGCACAGGGCAATGGGAAATCCAAGTTTAAAGAGAGCAGAGGGTTGTTCTGAAATTGCCTGTGTTTCACCCTGTATAGTGTGTGGTTTACACATTCCCTGGGATAACATACCCATAGGCTGCTCAGCCCCTCCACCACCTCACCAACAGATCAGATTTGGGTCCAATGCTGCAGGTGCAGAACACTGATGTGAACTCTTTCCAGAGTTATTCCCAGTGTACAAGGCTGTAATTGAGTATTATGTCTGCTGTGTTTAAGTATTGATGACTCTCCGTGCAGTCGAAGTCATTAACAGGAGTTGCTCATAGTTGGTGTTTTTTAGTTCCTTAATGCACCAGAAATCAGCCATGGCTGTGTAACTTCTCCTAAATTATCTCTATAGTATAAAAAAAATAGAAACCACACTGCAAAAAACTCCCACTTAGTTTTATGTGAAAATTAAGGTAATTTTAGATTACAGCCACAAGAAATCCACTGCTGTGTATGGCTGCTTTCCATTCCCCTCTCTTCTATACAAATGACCAATGGAAGTTTAAAGCAACTTCCCTGGAGCCTCAGGAAGATGAACACATATTACAACAAACAAGTGCAACAAAACACTAAACTCCCACGTCTCCAATTCTGTAACTGATGTGCAGGTAGCCAGATAAAATTGTACATGTCTCACCTGAGCAAGTTGGGCAACATTTGGGCTGCTCTGCAGCACTTAGGTCACCTCTTCTGAGAGCTGAGGTCCATCAGAGACAACACAGCTCCTCTTCAGAGTGGGAGATTTCTAGTTGTGTGCACAGGACTGTGACAGTTTGGGGCAGAAGGTGCCTAAGCCTGGGATGCTTCACTATTTTTATTCACTTTTGGCAGCAGGGATCCCTCAACCTAGGAAAAAAGTCCTGGCCTTACTCTCCAACATGTGGAATTCATGATGAAAACCCTGTAGTACCTGTGCTTCCCCCACTGAGTATAGCTCGAATGCAAACCCTTCTTATTTTACACTTGGCAGCAACTCCAGCTCAGCCTGACAGCTGTCAGCTCACACATCAACTCTTCCTCCCATCCAAGAGCTCACATGAGCTGACTCCTTTCCTTGACATACCAGCCAGTTGCTAATCCAGTTACGACTGTGCCAGACACACATCCAGCTCTGGAGGGCTCCCAGCTCCAGGCAGGGTGTGCTTCTGTAAAACCCCAACCTAGAGACCTGCCTGCAGCAGCACTGTCCCTTCCTGGTGCAGCCTGTCCTTATTCCTCCTCCCTTTTCCTGCAAGAGCCAAGCTGAAACACAGCCCCTGAGGACTGCCTGTCTCCCTCCCCACCCACCCTACCCAAGGACAGGTTCTGAATGTTTGGATGCTACCACACTAATCCAGACAGCTGTTTGCAGACATCCACCCAGCACCTGCACCCAAGCCCAGGGTGTCCCAACAACCTACAGCCTGTAGAGATTTGCTTTAAAAGCCTCACTTGGAGCCCCTCTCAGAGCCTCCCCATGTCATCTGGGACCACTCACTCAGCTCCTGGAGCCCAGCTCCCATCCCCTGGGCTCCCTGCACGTCAACTGAATTCTGCTGGAGCCTCTTCACCAACTGCCTCAGCTCGTCCAATACACACCAAGAGGCCTGAACATCACACAAAATGGAAATGAGGGAAACCCACACCTGATCTGGGTTCTGGGTGTATGGGTACATACCATTCTGTAGGTTTGGAGATACCTAATCCTTGCACACAATCCTAGAGATCTACACACAGCTAAGTGTGACAGGACCCAGCATTTACACCTTTTCTTAACACTTCCTCCCTAACACTGAGTATCTATACCAGGAATTTTTGAGTTTTTCAAGGGAATTTTTAAGACTCTGCTTTCAAGAGAGTAAAAAAAAAAAACCCCAAAACACAACCTTGTGTTATCTTCAGGCCACTGCAAAGTATCAAAAAATTTGGTCACTAGAGCATGATACAGTTGCAGATCCAGGACTGTTGGAAAAGCACAGCTTAAATTAATTTCTTTATTTTACACATATTTGCCTAGTGGTCTTTACTTCATGAATCAGTCAATGGTTATGGCTCAATAGTTACTTTTTGAGAAACTAAAAAACTATCAATGAGAGGAAGATGTTAATAATATAGTCTCATAATACAATTATTTAACAATTTCTTGTTGGCATCAAGTTCTATTTGATTCCAGCACGTAAATTTTTACACCACTTGCTGTAAAAACACTTTCCCATCTTTATCCTGGTTTTGGAGACACGTTTACAAAGTTTTGAAGCAACTAGAAACTCTGGCAATCGATAAGCTTCTCTGAAAACATCTGAGGCATCTTTACAACTCAGAAGGAACCAGGAGATCTCCCTCTTGTGGTCTCCTATGCAAACAGCCTTAGCTACATCTGTGAGCTCAGAAGTGTCTAAGGAATTTTTTTTTCATCAAATACCCACAGAAATTTTAAGTAATTCCATACACTACATGAAGTGTTCTTCCTAGAAAGAATGAGAAAGAGATTGTTTTCACTTTATTTTTATCTACATGGTATTTTCTTGCAGAAAAACCACAGAGATTGAAAATGCAGTGCTGACTCCTGTATACCACCACCTGAGAGGAAGTGGTGGGGAAAAAGTTACAGAACAAAGTAGATGAACAAACCTAACAATGGAGGAGCTGTTAGGTTCCTATAGGTAAGTGCTATCTAGCTGAACACATAAACTGCAGTTCTAAAATGCTCACACTTCAGTTACACAAAGCACAAAACAACCTCTACCTCACAGACCAATCTTACTCCTCAAAAGCCACAGCGGATATGTAGGAACCCAAGCTCACAGTTTCCCACGTCATGAGATGAACAAGTCTGACACCAACATAAAAAGAAATTTTGTGCCTTTATTGGAATGGTGTTAGGCTTTAAATACACCAAATTTTGATAACCTGATTATTTGGTTTAATTAGAAATGACACTACAGAACTGCAATACTGGTCCAACAGTCTTGTCTTTACTTTTTTTTTTTTTTTTTTTTAAAGCAAGAGATAGTATGAAAATGCACCAAGTAATCAGAAAGCACTAGCAGGCATTGGTTAATCCAAGACTAGCTTCTTAGTTCCAAAGCACTCGCATCGTATGGAACCCAGGATTTAGACTGGTCATGATTTGCAAGAGCTAGTTGCACGAGTCATGACTTTTTTCTTTTTTTTTTTTTTTTTTTTTTTTTTTTTTTTTTTTTTTAATTTTTTTTCAAGTTGGTCACTTTCAAGTTGGTCACTGGTAAATTTTTTCCTCAAATATTACAGTTTCTTTAATTCATATTTTTTCCTCAAAGTATAAAAAAGTATGAAATATAAACAAGCTCCTGCACTGCACCCATGAAAGGGTGCGACGGAAGCATTAGAGAGCTGACTATCTACACACCATCAAATCCCATCAAATCTTGGATAATTCATTAATATACAAAATATCAGGGCACAGAAAGAACTAAAATCCACTTTTTGTTTTGTTTTGTTACGCACAGGTTCAAATAATCAATCTAAAGAAAAAAAAGGTGATCATTTTGGCTTTCCACTACATCCGCATGTTGAGACACTTATTAAAATAATCCTGCTTAATTGTGTTTGGTCTTTTTTTTCTTATTGTCAAGTCATGTTTGTTATCTTAATACCAGCCATCAGACAAACAAGTAATCAGAAAGACTTCTCCTCCTCCTCCCCACTTCCCAATCCCTGACCCAGCCAGGGTCAGCTTTAAGACATGACTCCAAACACAGGGTTGTGACGACAGATGCTAGGACCAATCTCTTCATAGTCTTTTTTGGTATGGCATACTTGGTAGAATTCAGGCTGTAAAAGGAAGGGAAAAATATTAGTCTATGGTACATAACATCTTACTTTAACAATACTAACTTTTACATAGCCAATGAAAAAAAACCCAACAAATACCTTAGAAGTCCAGAAATTAATATTACATCACCCATGGCTAAACACCAATGCAGACAATGTATTCTGCCACAAAACTGAAATGTACTATTTAACAACTCACATAAAGCTTTAAATTGGTTTTCATTTTCTCTTTCAAATCTTTAAAGTCTAATGCAGAAACTTTAAGTGGGGCAGGGAGGGTCTATTTGCTACCTGAGGCCTATCAGAAATCCTCCAACCACAGTGGACACAAAATGAAGGGGAGATGAGAGCTCCAAAAGCACAGGCAGAATGGCTAACACACACTCAGCTTTACAGCTAACTTACTGTGGAAGCCAGCATAGATCCTCCAAACCAAACTGCATATCTCTGCATATGGTGCGTAATGACTTGTACATCAATGGGCTTAGGCTAGAAAAAGGAAGAGAGAAAAAAAAAAAAAGAACACATTAGAAGTCACCTTTGCTGGCAAAAACCTGGATCTATTTTTAGAAGAGTCTATACACCAAGCTTACTGTTCACAAATTAGTGTTTTCTTAAATGCTGTGCCTGTAAATTTACAATTACAGCATCAGATTTTCTCTTGTACAATCCAGACTCAGATGCAGCTCTTGCTTATAGATCACCAGTTAACTACTTAATCACAGATACTTGCATTCACTCCCATTTCTTCACATTCTGTTTTCTGCTGAATTTTTGACAGACTATTTATGCAGTGAAAAGCACAGATCCATGCTACCTAGCCCTTCTAAAAAAACCCATGCTTTCGAAGGCTGATTTTTATGTTTTGTGCTATTGTTCTAACAAAGTTGCAGACTGACTGTATTTGTCCTAGATCAACTTGCACAGCTGTGCTTTTTTAAACTACGACACTCACTGCAGTTACCATCCCTTGTCCCTCCATATCCACACAAACCCTCATTCCATACTTGTGCTCACCAAAACTGTCAGTGGACCTAAGTTTCAGAATTTATTTGTTCCAGTACAACCTGCTGGAATTTGAAGCAGCTTCTAAAAATGGTGTGTAATACATTGGCAAAGCTCAAGCCTGGCACTTTGAAGGAAGAATCACATCACAATTTCTTTCTTCATGTCCTTCTTCCTTACTAAGCAGCACAACTCAGTAAGGAGAATTGAGACTAAGTAATTAAGTCACTTGGACCAGAGAACTGAAATTTCAGAGTTGCTACATGGCATATTATGAAGCTCTGCTGGGGTTTTAAAGGATTGTTTCAGCTCATCTAGCTAGATTACTAAAAAAAAAAAAAAGTGAGGAAAATCACTACAATTTTGCTTTAAAAGGAAAAAAATTTTTTTTTCCTCTGCTGGTATCTTTTATGCATGCAGAGTCAACAGAAAAAATGGAAGTCAGAGGTCTGAAGTGGATAGAACACAAATTAAGGATCATACAGTGTAGTGAAAACATGAAACCATTTGTAAGATCATAGGGTAACTTAGGGAGGGACCTCAGCAGTCTCTAGTTTGGCCTCCTGCTCAAAGCAGGGTCAGCTATGAAGCCAGGGGAAGGTCATTCAGTTGTACCCAGCTGAACCTCAAAAACCTCCACGGATGGAGACTACATAACTCCTGTTATGCCTGTTCCAGTGGCTGATTTCCCCACAGTTAAAAAGTTTCCCTTTGATCCAAGTCGAATCTCTTGTCTGTATTTATCTGTTGCCTGCCACTGACACACCACTCAGCACTGCCAAGAGCCTGGTCCCACTTTATCAATAATCTTCCCACATGTACCGAAGGGCTGGGACTGTGAGTCCCAAAGCCTTTTTCTCTTCTCTAAACAAGGTGGTTCCCTCAGCCTTTCCTCACAGGACACGTGCTCCTGATCTCCTGATGGCTCAACAATGAGCTTGCTTATCTCTCTAAGTTCAAAAGACTGAGGACAATGGTTTGCCACTAATGAATCAGCAGCAAGCACAAACACAGCTGGGGAGTGACCACCAACTATGTTTAACAGGCAAATAACACCAATCTCTGAGAAGCTTCTGTAACAACTTTAAATGAAGAGAAAGACATTTCAACAAAGAACATCATCACTGCAACATGTTATTTTCACATTTTCCAGGTAACAGAGGAGAGACAGATGCTTGTTAAAGGCATTAGCTGCACCAACTAACCTTCAGTCTGCCACCACTAAGTTCTTCACTAAGTTTCAGCCTGGCATCAACAGTCCTTTTCAAGTCTCGCTGTAAACGGCGACCAAAGTCCCTGAACATGGTTGAGCCTCCAGAGAGGACAATATTCTGTTTTGAGTAACAAAAACAGTTAACCACTTCTGAAAATA